TACATATACACCATGGAATATTACTCAGCCATTAAAGAGAATTCATTTGAATCAGTTCTAATGAGATGGATGAAACTGGAGCCCATTATACAGAGTGAAGTAAGCCAGAAAGATAAAGACCATTACAATACACTAATGCATATATATGGAATTTAGAAAGATGGTAACGATAACCCTGTATGCAAAACAGAAAAAGAGACACATATGTACAGAACAGACTTTTGGACTCTGTGGGAGAAGGCAAGGGTGGGATGTTTCGAGAGAACAGCATCGAAGCATGTGTATTATCTAGGGTGAAACAGATCACCAGCCCAGGTTGGATGCATGAGACAAGTGCTCGGGGCTGGTGCACTGGGAAGACCCAGAGGAATTGAGTGGAGAGGGAGGTGGGGGAGGGGGATCAGGATGGGGAATACATGTAATCCATGGCTGAGTCATGTCAATGTATGGCAAAAACCACTACAATATTGTAAAGTAATTAGCCTCCAACTAATAAAAATAAATGGAAAAAAAACATTTTTAATATAGATTATCAAGTTTTTCCTCATTTCAACAATGAAAATTTAGTTAATTGGTACCCCAAGTGGAAAGTTTATTTACTTTCCACAGTTTCAAATTTGCAATTGCTGTTCTTCTTATTAGGTTCTCTTCATGAAGATTTCACTAAAAATTTCCTGATTTATTCTTACCTGGAATGAGAAGATTACCTGTTAAGTTATAAACAGTAACATTTTATGCATTGCACTTAATTACTTATGCACTGTTTTATTTATATAATTATTTATCTATCTAATTTGATATTTATTACACATATAATTATTTTTCTAATTTCAGGACTTCATGTATTTTGAAAGCTCTCCACCACAACGTTCAAACATTCATCATGATTGATGGAACCACACATCAGCAATGGTGATTAATTAAAGAAAAATTTAGAAAAGTTGCCTGGGCTCATAGTCAGCCCTCAAGTATTCACAAATATATTTATCTGCTCTTGAAGATTAATGTTGTTGGATGTTAGCATTGACAGGTAGACTGAGAGTGTAAGTGGAAGAACACATCTAAATGTGTTTCAGTTGCGTATCTGTCTACTTGGTAGACATGGAGTTTGCCATGAAAAAACTATGACTCATTAACCAAGTGAATATATATATATGGTGAACTTTCAAACACTTTAAACATGAGATAAGAGAAAATGAATCCCAAAGCTCTTACACTAATTGATAGTAAAATGATAGTCTTTTAAGAGCAATCTTTGTTGAGATAGAGTCATATAGGCTGTATCTCTAACCCTTTCGTCTCCTTGCAGTTGCTGAAGACAAGTTTGATTCCAGGTGAAAAGAATGATACACTTCATTATTAAAAACAAAAAGGAAGGCAGATAGAAATATGTTTTATTGCACAAGAAAAATTTTACTTGTGCAAATGTATCAGAAATTTGTTTTGAAAACTTATGAAAATTTCCATGGAACTTTTTATTTTATTACAAAATAAAACATGTTTTTTATATCATAAGGTTATATTTCCCATGCTTCATTTACTAGCATACACAATCAGGAGCTGTCTCCCTATGAAGATAGGGTCAGACAATCAGGAAAAGAGGTGACCAGGGCCATGACCAATCTGGATCTCTGAGCAATTTAGAGACATCAGTGCCCTTATGAGAAGCTTTCCTTTTATACATTTAACCTCTCTTAGCTATAGATGACTTACATATAAAATAGGTTTGGTCAAATCTCTAGGACTGCCTGTTAAACATTTGTATCTTATTTGGTATGACACAGAAGAGATGGTTTTTTTTCTCTTAAAAGAAGATCCCTAATCAAACCAGGCTGTTCAAATTGCAAGAGTTGGAGTTTCACTTTTAAATTTTGAAATGTGACATTCTGTGTAGCATTTTGTAAATGCAAAAACTGAAAAAGCAGATACTGTGTAATATTACTTTGCTGTTTTTTGTTTAAATGGTAGATAAATCTGTATCTAGGAAAAGAAAATGATAAAAGAGCAAACATGCTACTTCTCTGGAATCTACAGCTTATCAGTAAAGGTTATTTGGACTAACATAGTAAATGTAAAAATTGTACTTATTTGTATTAGCTAAAAGCACACTTAGTGAACACACTCTGATAAATCAGCTTGCCTCTACTGCACTTTAGTTTCCTATTTGGACATGAACTGTGTTCTTTCAACACAACAAGTATATAGAATAGAATGTGTTCTGTTGCTGCTTATTAAAAGAAGCAAGACTTAATGTGCTTAAGTATGAGATGAAAGCCTTTGCCCATTGAATTTCCTATTGAAGTTTGTATTGAAGTGAAAGAAAGATGCCTCATTTTTAAATTATATTCATGTTTTCATGATAAATGTTGTTTTACCCAGTTTCTTGCAATGTTCATTTTTATATGCTACTGTTAGCTTTCTAAAAAAATTTGATATAACAAGTGAGACAATAGTATTCAGAAAGTTTACTATATAAACTTTTCATTTTTATTTGCTACATCCCTACATTCTAAGGCCTAATGCATAATACTAGGAAAAAATTAGTTTTAGCATGGCATTTAAAATTTCTATTTAAAGTTTTTGCAGTAGTAACACGTCTCTTACAATTTCCTTCTTTAAAATAATATTGTTTCTTATGTTTTTATACTACAGTTTATAACTTTTATATTTCTTATATAAAAATAAGAAATATATAAAAATACACAATATTTCATTGTGCAAAACTGATCAGACTGATGAACACAACAAGCTGTTTTCTGAAATGTGTGTGTTTTCATGTTTCATCATATTGTTTTTGGCTTCTAAACAAATATAATATGGTTTATAGTGAAATACTGTTTTATTTTTGACTTGTGATTGAGTCTTTGCAATAGACTGTTTGTATCCTCCCTCAACAAAATTTATAGGTTACCCAAGTGTGATGGTGTTTGGAGTGGAGGCTTCAGGAGGTGAAAGGTCATGCAGGTGAAGCCCTCATGAATGGGATTAGTGCCCTTATAATCTGCCAACCTTGATCTTGAACATCCCACCCTTCAGAGCCATCAGAAATCAATGCATTGTTTAAGCCACTCAGTCTACAGTATTTATGTAATAGCAACCCAAACAGACTAAGAAACAAATTGGTACTGAGAAGTGACAATGGTGCATAACAAATATGTAAAAATGTGGTACTGGGTGAGGAATAGAGGCTAGAATTTTGAAGTGCATACTGAAAAAAACATAGGTTGCCATGAACAGAATTTTAAAGATGATTCCGATGAGAGCTCAGAAAGAGGAACACTGTAGAAAACACCTTAATCTTCTTAGAGAATACCTATCTACCCATGAATAGTATGTTGGTAGAAATATGGACAATAAAGACCAAGATGGAAATGAGGAACTGATTATTGAAAACTGTAAGAGATTCAATCCTTATTGTAAAGTAGCAAAAAAACAAACAAACAAAACTTTGGTGAATTGTGTTTCTGTTTAGTCTTTGGTGAAATGTAGAACAGAATACCAAGCTGAAACAATTTCTAAGCAAAATGTTGAACTGCAATTTGGCTCTTCCTGACTGCTGACAGTAAAATTCAAACTAAGAGACTGGACTTAAAGATGAGATTGTTAAGCCACAAGGAAGCAGAATTTAAGATTAGGAAAATCCTCAGCCTATCCATCTTGCAAAAAATGAGACCACTGAGGGTGTGGCCAAATGACTGAGAAGGAGGTTAGTATGGATCTGATTGGAAGCCAGGTACTACTCTCCAAGACAATGAAGAATGATCCCCAAAAAGAATTCAGAGAGAATCAAGCTGCCACTCCCAGAACTGAGCTGCCACTCCCATCACAGTCCCTGAGTGCAAGGGCCTGGGGAGCAGAGTGGTTCAAAGAAGGGCCCACCAGCACCTTTGGGACCTTGGTGCCAGCTGTTGGGTGCCACCTCATAGGTAGGGCTCTGGTCTCTGTAGTCTGGTGCCACACCCGACACAGCAGACATGCTCTGGTGTTGGGTTGGCCAAAAGTTCATTTGAGTTTTCTTATACCATGGAAAATCAATGAACTTTTTGGCCAGCTCACTAGCTCGCAGTGCAGCACAAGTCTCAGGGGTTGCCCTTCCAGAGAGCACAGACAGCAAACTTTGGTGATGACCATTTGACCTGTCTCCACTGGCACAAGCCTGGCAGAGGGGGAGGGAGAGGCATGGCTGCCTCCACCTAGATTTCAGAGGATGGGGCCATCTGGAAGAGTCATGGGCCAAAGACCCCAGACCCAGAGAACCATGGAGCCCAGGCAGGGAGTGGCTACAGGCCTTCCTGTGGAGCACAGGGGTGATACTGCCATCCCAATGGGTCTAGAAGACAGAGCATTGAGTCAAAGGAGATTATTCTTGAGCCTTAAGGTTTAATGTTGTTTGTGCTCTTCTATCTTGGATGTACTTGGGACCTGTCCTCCTTTATTATTCTCTGTTCTACCCTTTGGGATTGGAAATGTCTATCCTATGCCTGCCCTACCATTGTATTTTGGAAGCATACGTTGTTTGATTTCACAGGTTAACAACTGGAGAGCAATTTGCCTCAGGTTGGATCCTACCTTGCATCTCATCCATATTTGAGTTGAATAATACTCAGATAAGACTTTAGACTTCATAGGAGTAATTAGCTTTCTAGATATAACCAAGCTATTTATGAGTACTTATTTCAAATCCACTTATTTAAGACACATTTAAATTTTAATTATGATGTCAATACCAGTATATCATGTAGAAAATCTGCTAGAAATTGTAACTGTCATTTAAGACATTTTTCCTTAATGACAGATTTCCCAGAAATGTTACCAAAAATATGGCTACTGGACTAATTTACTAGTTGAATTTTCAAACCAACTAGATGCTAAATTAAGCTCAAGTATAGAGTAAGCAGTGATTCCAGGGAATGGCATCCTGCCTCTGATGGGACTGCTGGCTACTTTTCAGTCCTTTCTCCTCTCAGTATTCAAGGTTTAATGTAATTTATATTGAAAGATGAAAGTTTGGGAAAGCTATATAGGCCTGGATTTAATAAACGAACACCAAGTTCTGATTTTTGGCTAGAAATATCTAATATTTAAAATGGATCTATTACCTTAAGTTGGTTGACCATCACAGTGCATTTCTCATAAGCCTCTAGGTCTCCTAAATTGTAAAACAAACCCAGAAGACAGAAAAACAAAATAACACATTCCAAATGTAGTCAGAGTGAGGCAACATAGTGTGCTACATGATTACACATAATAGCACCTGGTAGGAATCCATTCAGTAGATGTTCACCTCTGCCTATTGAATGACAATAAAGTCAGTGGATATATTTTTGCAATATTTGTTATGGTGTTGTTCTTTAGTCAGTAAGTTGTGTCCAACTCTTTTCTCCATGAGGCCTGCCAGACCCCTCTGTGCATGGGATTTCCCAAGCAAGAATACTAGAGAGGGTTGCCCTTTCCTTCTCTAGGGGATCTTTCTGACCCAGGGATTGAACCAACATCTTCTGTGTTGGCAGTGAGATTCTTTACCACTGAACCACCAGGCAAGTTCAGTATTTGTTTTCTGTTCAGTTCAGTCACTGTCGTGTCTGACTCTTTGGGACTCCATGAACCGCAGCATGCCAGGCTTCCCTGTCCTTCACCAACTCCCGGAGTCCACCCAAACCCATGTCCATTGAGTCATCTGCCATGAAGTGATGGGACCGGATGCCATGATCTTAGTTTTCTGAATGTTGAGCTTTAAGCCAACTTTTTCACTCTCCTCTTTCACCTTCATAAAGAGTAGCCAGTAAAAAGTTTTAACATGCTCTCTACTATTTCACTCTATCAATCATTACTTTATTAAACATCTACTCCATTCAGACACTGGGATACTTGTGAGTCAGAAGGAAGCACAAATGTGAAAAGGACACAATTATTAGCTCACAAGCTAGTGTGTGAGACAGATTTTTAAGCAGGACCAGTGTGGACATGTGTTCAATGGGATGTTGGAACATTCAATAGAGACCATGTCACTAGTCTCATTTCAAGTGTTGGGTGATATATTTCTGTTCCATTTCCTCAGATAGTTCAGGCTGGCTGGTTGTATCATATGCTCAGGTAAACTTCTTGTCACTGCTGGAGATGAATAAGATGAGTTTTACAGTGTGTTGGCAAACTGAATACATGGTAAATATAACTGAAATGATCAATTTGACAAATTTTTATCAAACAAAGTAGGAATTAATGGTTTATTACAGTAAATATAGAGCGTAGGATAGTGATGCATTTAAGATGCTCAACAAACATTTTGTTATCTTAAAAGCATTTATTTATGTATAATTGACACGTAATGTTATACTGGTGTCAGATATGTAGCATAATTGTTCATTAATTGTAAATACTACAATATGATCACCACACTAAGTCTACAGGCATACCTGGCAGATACTGCAGGTTCAGTTCCAAACCAACACAATAAAGCAAATATTGCAATTAAGTGATTCACACAATTTTTTTGTTTGTTTCTCAGTACACATAAAAGTTATGTGAATGCTATACTGTAGTCTGTTAAGAGTGAAATAACATTTATGTCTAAAAAATAAATAATTTTAAAATAGTTTACTGCTAAAAAATGCTGTCATTTGAGTCTTTAGCAAGTTGTAGTAACATTAGACATCACTGATCACAGATTACTGTACAAAATATAACAGTGATGAAAAAGTTTGATGTATTGAAAAGTCACCCTAAAATATGACACAGACATTTGCTCACATGAAGTGAGCAAATACTGTTGGAAAAATGGCACTGATAGACTTGCTGTACACAGTTCAGTTCAGTTCAGTTGCTCAGTCGTGTCCGACTCTTTGGGACCCCATGGACCGTAGCATACCAGGCCTCCCTGTCCATCACCAGCTCCCAGATTTTACCCAAACTCATGTCCATTGAATCGGCGATGCCATCCAACCATCTCATCTTCTGTTGTCCCCTTCTCCTCCTGCATTCAATCTTTCCCAGCATCAGGGTCTTTTCCAATGAGTCAGCTCTTCGCATCAGGTGGCCAAAATATTGGACCTTCAGCTTCAACATCAGTCCTTCCAATGTACACTCAGGACTGATCTCCTTTAAGATGGACTGGCTGGATCTCCTTGCAGTCCAAGGGACTCTCAAGAGTCTTCTCCAACACCACATTTCAAAAGCATCAACTCTTCAGTGATCAGCTTTCTTTATAGTCCAACTCTCACATCCATACATGACTACTGAAAAAACCATAGCCTTGACTAGATGGAATTTTGTTGGCAAAGTAATGCCTCTGCTTTTTAATATGCTGTCTAGGTTGGTCATAACTTTCCCTCCAAGGAGTAAGCATCTTTTAATTTTATGGCGGCAATCACCATCTGCAGTGATTTTGGAGCCTCAAAAACTAAAGTCTGCCACTGTTTCCCCATCTATACAAGATTGCCATAAACCTGTAATTAAAATAAAAAAGTAGTATCTGCAAAGCATAATGAAGTAAAATGAGGAATGCTTATAGTTTCTATCTATCATCATATAAAATTAACTTTTAAGATTTATTCCCTCGGCAACTTTCAGGTATGCCCTGCAGTACAGTGTTACAGACTGTAGTTACCATGCTGCACATTATATGCCCATTACTTATTTATTTCATAAGTGGAAGTTTGTGCATCTTGACACCCCTCACCTATTTTGCCCACTACTTTCCTCTCCCCTCTGGAAACCACAATTCTGTTCTCTGTACCTATGATTTTTGTTTTGTTTTTTGTTTTTCAGTCGTAAGTTGTGTCCGACTCTTTGCAAGCCCATGGACTGCAGCAAACCAGTCTCCCCTGTCCTTCACTATCTCCCAGAGTTCGCTCAAATTCATGTCCATTGAGTTGGTGATGCTATCTAACCAGCACATCCTATGCCACTCCCATCTCCTTTTGCCTTCAATATTTGCCAGAATCAGGGTCTTTTCCAGTTAGTCAGTTCTTTGCATCAGGTGGCTGAAGTACTGGAGCTTCAGCTTCAGCATCAGTCCTTCCAATGAATATTCAGGATTGATTTCCTTTAGGATTGACTCATTTGACCTCCTTGCATTCCAAGGGACTCTCAAGTTTTCTCCAGTACCACAATTAAAAAACATCAGTTCTTCAGTGCTCAGCCTTCTTTATGGTCCAACTCTCACATCCATACATGACTACTGGAAAAACCATAGCTTTGACTAGACAGACTTTTGTCAGCAATGTGATTTGTTTTTTAGATTCCACACATAAAGGAAATCATTCAGTAGTTATCTTTCTCTGTCTGAATAATTTCTGTAGCATAATTACTTAAGGTCCATCCATATTTCCATAAATGGCAAGATTTCATTCTGTTTATGGCTGAGTAGTATTCCATTG